GTTGTGAAAATAGTAGATTAAATATCAAGTTTTTTTTTAAATAAAGTTTGATAATTATCTGGAGGTTTAAAGATTTTGCATGTGAAATTTGAAAATTTTCTGATACATAAAAGTATTTCTAATCTTAAAATCAAAATTAATTTGCATGTTGGATAGGCAACATTCGAAAACAAAAAAGGCATGAGAAAAACATTACTTAAGAAATCTTAAACTTAATAAAAAAAATCTGATATTTTTTTGTACAAAAGCCTTGTAATGTTTACTCATCTTATGCATAATTTCTTGAAGATACACTTACTATATTAAAAGTTATAGCATGAAAACAGTAACAAGCACAAAATAGTTATGAGGTTGGACCCTGGGACCAAGCCTGTACTGAAAGTGTTAACTACTTTTTATGCCAAGTTTATTGATATACATTGATAATAAAGTAGTTTAATTAAGTTTTGAAAGCAACTCAGTACAAAGTTATGACATGCATTTTGACCCTATCTGAGCATATAGGGTTAAGGCACCAAGACACAGATGATTTTGTTTGTTTTTGGATAGTTGTGCAAAGATACTCACGGGTTACTTGCACTAACTGTCCCAAATGTTTTAACTGATAGGCTAGAGGGAAGGCAACTAACTAGTCAACAGCACAGCACCACCACAACTCTTGGGATAATTATTGCCTGACTGATTGGTGGGATTTGATACAATGCACCCATATTCACAAAGTGTTGAGCTCTTTTTTTCTTTTTCAGAAACAGGATGTGAATAATGGTCCTGCATATCCACAATCCGAGTCCAACGTGATAGCCATTTGGCCATGCTTAGTCTGTTTCTGTATGGACACCAGGACAATCCCTACAGATGGTTAGGGTCTCTGAATATTCATACATACATTTCATTACATTTGTCTTCTACTAGCATTTAGATGTTCCCATAACAAATATGCTAAGTGATGACCATAAGAGTAGTTTAATCTTTTATCTTTAATTGAAACAGCAGTATTTTAAATTTCTAAAAATTCTGGACCATTAAGATCAATTTAATATCAACAGGGTTCATACACTTGACTAAGACAAAAATTCCAAGGCTTTAAGGATTTTTCCAGAATGGAATCACCTATTTTTCAGAAACCCATAAACATCCTGATGTTATCATTTGACTCACAAGAAGCAAATGTCCACTTAAAACTAAGACTGCTCAATAACTATTAAATGGAAGTATTACAAAAAAAGTTAATAACAGCATGTACACAATCCATAAGAATCTAACCTAATGTGACACATTTCAAATGGATGTTCAGTAAAACAATGTATGTATTAGAAAAAGTAGTTCTAAACTTAAAGATTTCATTATTAGATGTTTGGCCAGGCCTCTGAAATTCCATCTTAAATAACATTCTGATTCTTCCCATAAGCCAAATCTATTTGGAGCTTGACAGGGTATACAAATTTGAAAAACAAATATGAAAAAGCACATTCAGTTTACAACAAAATTCATCAAGTTTTAATAATTTTCAGTTATAGTTATGAATTTGCTGTGATTTATGAACAAACAGAGTTATTGGTTTTCAGATTGTTATTCAGAAAAAGTTAATTAAGTCTCATTTCTTTTGCATGGAGCCAATATGAAAAGGTAAACACTACATCAACCATGATTTTTGACTGGTTCATTGCATTTTTAAGGTGTTTTATGCCTAGCATACAAACTGCACATGATCAACATAGCCACAGCTGTAGTACATAACTTTTTTTGTAGGAAATAAATGCAAAGATGATGAACTTAAAGAAAACAACATATTAAATAAAAATAACTTAGGCAACATATCTCCTTTTTTTCAAATTCTATAACTTTCCAGGACTTGTACAAATGCTGCATTAAATAATTACAATTAACTTTACAAATATAAAAGTCACTTTTATATTTCTAGAATGCACACATGTTAGCATGCACACAGAATCTATGGCAAATCTTACATACCAGCTGTTCTTCATCCACAGGAACTGAAAAAAAAAATGAACTGGCAGAATACACATAGCAAGCAAGAAATGTTCAGTGTAGCATAAGTTATAAAAAGTAAAGAAGAAAAAATTAAATGATTTTCCGTAGGCATTCTGCACAACTTTATCAAAACTTTACCAAGTTAACTTTACACAAGGGATGTTTAACTCATGTATAAACGTAACAATCTATGATTAAAACAATATACTAACAAAATGTACAAAACAAACTATCTATAAGGAGTAAAAGAAAAAAAGAAGAAGACAACTGAAGGTGAAAAGTACCACTTGCGCCACTGAAGTCAATCCACCTAAAACATAGTCCTTCACATCCATCGGGGTTTAAAACAACTATTTTTTACCTTCAAGAGCAGAGCTTACTACACCAGTCAAGCTCATAAGTCACATATAATAAATAACTTTCCAAGGTCTTAAATCAATGACATTGGAATATCATACACATTAATTTAGTCATCCAGTAAAATAATGACATAAATGGCAGGAAAAACAAACAAATTTGTTATAAAAAAATAACTACATAATTGTAATGGTAAGTTAAAAAAAACCTTTAAGAAACTTGTTAAAAATCAATAGAATGTAACAGTTTAATAGTACATCAAACTGTTTATCTTGTATTCACCATGTAAAATGGGAAAAATGAATCTCATTGGTTAATCTTTAGCCTAAAAAATTTTGTTGTTAAAAAAATAGTAGATACAACTTACCAATTCAGTGAAGTTTTAAGCTCCAAAAAATAAACTGCCTCCATGTCATCATTTAAAGATAGTATAACAGATTGTTTCTTGTTCCATTTTTTTTTTTATGTTAATCAGGAAATGTAGCTTTATTAGTGACCCAAAACTATAACTGATATGTGTAAAAGTTATTGATTTCTGGACCTTACTCAGCAATTCTTAGTAAATGTTCTAGCCTTTCGTCTCCTAATGAGCAACAGAAGTTGGTTTTAACTCATTTAAGCTTGGAGAACATTAATTGAGATTTGATGATGCTAACCAGAACTGTGAATAACAGTTGTACAAGAGTTAAAGATGCTTTGCAAGCTTTTAAACAACGTAACCAATAACACGATGCTGAGAGACAGAAACTCTTTCCATTGCGTTAGGAGTTCTATTACTTAAACATGACAGCCAGCTTGACACAGTGATATTTCACAATGACTATAGAAGTAAGTAATAATAACTTCTGATCAGAGTAACTCATGCACATAGAGTTAAACCACACACCACTCTAGCTAACCAAATATACTTTTCATGTGTTTCATCAGTTAGGTACTATCATTGCTAAGAATATTTTCAGCCATAAACCCAATAATATTTCACGAGGTTCAATCACTTTAGGAGATTTAGGTTAGTCCTAAATACACAGACTAAACTAAAATTGCCAATCAATTTTTATAATGAAAGTACAATATTTAAAAATAAAACAAAAAGTGATAAAAGTAGATATATTAAACATTCCAACCAATACTATCAATGAAAGTAACAACAATAAAAAATGATATAGTACATCTTACCTATGGAACATAAAATTGCATCATTAGTAAAATCAAAACCAGACTTGGCATTTCAATGCTACATAATTTAAAATATGTACAAACAAGTTAAACAAATCAGAACTTTCCTGCTTTTCTTCTTTAATAATGTTAACTTCAACCAATTCTAAATAAGCATTTTTCTCGCTTTTTAGAAGCCTTTGCTTCTATATAGTGCATCAATGTAACACTATAATAATCTTACTATAATGGATATAGCATGTATATATATTCATCCATGTATGTGCCAGAAATAATAAATACAATGTGGCACCATCCATTGAATGGTACCACAAACAAAAATCCATAAAAACATTTCACACTTTGGGTATTCAAGATTCAGACAATTAGTGCAACAACCATTTCTTTATCACATAACACAATTTTAAATAAAAGTAGTCTCCTCACAACAAGAAGACTTTCACTAGGACTGTACATGAGGATTTGATTATATCTATTAATGTAATTTTTAAATATAGTACTAAAAATGGAATTCTTATTAAGCCTGATTGTTATCATAAAAACATTGTTCTACACACTACCTCACTTTCCAGGTAAATTAGTAAGAATTTGGAATAACCTTTCCAAACAATATAATTTATATATCAACAAAGTTTTTAACAAAACCAAGTAGTTTGTTAAATAAGAAATATAATAATAACAACTCAAGGAATGTAATTTACAGAACAGACTAGTTTTTGAATGTTCCAAAGCCTGCAGTAACATTGATTTAATGGAATCAGCTAAAATCTTACATTATGAAAGAAATACTTCTCTTAGAAAAATCAAGGAGACTTTCATTTTAATATTAAAAATAAATGACCTTATATTTAATTAAATAAAAACAATTTGGTGTTATAATGTCATATATTTCTACTATTAAAATGTCTTCTATACACCAATATGCACTACAAGATATAAAAATCCAAAAATAATAATCACCTAAAGACACTACTGTATCTCTATAAATGTGAGTCTAACCCCAAACAATCATTGTTAGAAGCTATTATTCTTGGTTTTTTTTTGGTCAGTTTAATCAATGGTCCATTATATAACTATGTTATAACTTATATTAAGTTATTTTCATTTAATAGTTATGGTGTAACAACACAAATAAATGCAAATAGTAAAATATACTTTAGTGTTAAGTTAAGAATTGTTTTGTATACTTTCTTTAAAATTTTGTTGACATATTATTCTATATCTTGTTGTTTATTTATTTAATTACTGACATCACATTGTTTAGAGAATCACTTGTATTACTCATGTGCTTTTGTTGGTTTGAATTTAAACTTGTTTGTTCTTTTTCAAACCACTGTATGTCAATCATCCAAAGATGTCAGGTCAGCCTGGTGAAATGTAGTTTATTTATATACTTCTTACTTCCAATAAACTTGACGTTTATGTCATGCAAGCTGTTAATTTAATAATTTCTTGAGTTAGCTCACTACATCTAATTCCCGAAGAATGCTTTCACATACACGTGAGAACCAGTCCCTATGATTTTTTTTTTACATTTCTTTTTGGCAGTTTTCTTTGCCCATTCAAGCAATTACTTAGATCAGTAGTACTAAAGAAAACACATCTTAGCAAACAATAGCCCTGTGGGTGAAGAAAAACTTGATAGTCTTGAGCAAAATTATTTAACTAAACCTAACAATTCTCAACCTAATCTTGCTCCACAAAAAATTATCTTTCATATCATTCTACAATAAAAAAATTTAAACAAAGTATACAATGATAAAGCAAGATTTAATGGAAAAGAAAAATCATGAATGTAATTTCAACAGTTGTCAACAAACGTTTTTTCTTCTAGAAGCATACCCTCAAGCTAAGCTTTTAACATTCTGTTCTGATTTCTACATGATTCTCTACTGAAATGGAAGCCAAACTCGCTTATGCAGAGTAAGAGTTTGATTAAATCACTAACCAATGACTTCTCAAAACTGAGGTATAGACAATTTACATCATGCTACAACAATCAAGGTGGAGGAACAGTAATTGGTTAAAACAAATAAAACTATGTAAGTATTGAAGTTACTAGGTTTAACTCTTAGAGAGCTGAGAGTGCTATATATTATACTACAAAAAATTTTAAAATACACAAACACTAATGTTTTCATTCAGAGCATGCTGAAATCAACCCAAATTCAAAATCTGAATTTCTTTAATGCTTTCATGTATAAAATTAAATTATATTTTTTATTGTATGAATTTCAACTCTAAAGTACTGAAAAATATATTCTAATTTTTTTATAATGTAATGTTGCATCCAGCTATATGCCATGATCCAGTTAAGCCACAATCCATATACCTATACAACAAAATTTTTGGAGAACCCCAATTAAGCCAGATTTGAATATTTTAAGTATTAATAAAATATACCAACTATGTAAATAGGGCACCAACCTGAAGGTGGGTTGAAAAAGTTAAAAAAAGAATCATTCTGTATGGTTTTTGTGATTGTTCTGACTGAGCCCCGTGACTTGTGTTTCTGCTTTTTCTTAATGGTCTTCATTGTTATATTTTTTCCTTTCTTCCAATCTATAGTACACCTAGTAAAAAAAGCAAAAAAAAAAGGTGCATTTGCACTGAAATAACCCAAGAGATATGGAACTTTAGGAAAGTTATACAATACGTTTATTGTTTATTTTAATGTTAAGATTTATCCTCAATTTTTCAGCTAGTTGAAGGTTAATTTATGAGACTTCTTACTGTCAAAACCATGCAACTAAATTCTATATAGATTGAGCCTAATCTTATATTTATACAAAAATTTTAAATATAAGTTTAGGCTAACATAACAAGTTTAAAAAACAAATTGAGAAATTACCAAAATAAAAAAAAAAGAGTAAAGATTGGCAGTAAATTTAAGTTCTTGAATATGTTTTTTTATGAAAGGCTGCACAATTTCATAATTTTTGAAATTCACACAAAGACCATTATACATCAAATTCTTTCTTACCCTTTGCTTTTAAAAATTTCAGGTCCTTCAAAAGAAAATGGGTCGTCTTCATCTGGTACACACCTCATTTCATATTCTTTTGTTAGAACTGAATTATTAAAATACTCATTGGCTTTAAAATGGAATTCTAGTGTAAAACCCTGAAAGAAAGTATTAATCAAGTTATCTCTAATTATAAAAAATAAAGTATAACAGGTAGAAGAAGTTACTAAAAACCATCCAGGTGGCTAATGATTTAAGCAGCTCTGAAACTATTCCCCAGAAAAAACAAGTGGTACATGTACCTAAATGTTAATGTACAATGCAAAATTAAACCTTTTGATATTGATACAGTTCTTCTTAAATCCATTCTAAGTACGAAAAATATAAACTCAATGTTATCATTATAGTATCAACTGTTGATAAAGAACAGCAACAAAACAAGAACATCAAATATTTACTGTATAGTTGTAATAAAAAAAAACAGAGCAACACAAAGAATAAAGTGGGCAAATCTAAAATGTTTAACAGGTTTCTCTAGTATGTTTGCTTAATGTTTAATGAAAATATTTTTTTTTTCAAAGCAAAGTCACACTGGGTTATCTGCTGTGCACACTGTGGGGAATTGAGCCCCTGATTTTAGCATTGTAAATCTGTAGACTTACCGCTGTCCCACCAGGGGACTGAAAATAAAAAATTACCATTGGATTCGTCTGTGAAAGTTTCACTTTAACATCAGTAAGGTTCTTGAGGATAGGCTCATCATGGTCCTGTAAATAAGGTTCAACAAAATTAAATATGATCTAACCATCAAATATTTTAAAATTTATTAAACATGCTTATAATTACATAACTCAGCAAACTGGAAAAAAACAAACTTAGAATTACTGAAAATCAGATGAATTATTAAATGTAAAACAGCAAATGCTGTAAAAATTATATCACCATTCTCTTTCCATTCCAGGTACAAACTACATTGACAGTAAGATACCCAACTGCATGTAAGTTTAGTCATTAAAAAGTTTCTTCTTTGTTTATTTGTGTGTCACATGATAAAAATTGCTATTAGAAATACTTTATGATAAAATACCTTTTTTACTACTGAATAGTAAACATGAGTTACAAACCAGATTGGTTAGTATAAAATAAACTGATTTCTGGATAAAGGAAAAAAAATTAGAACTGACCTTTACTTCCATACTAATGTTCTAGACTTTTCCTTTTATATATATATAAAAATAAAAGGCAAGTACAAAAGGAATGCTACCCCTTTATTGCACACAAATTAATTGCACCAGTATACTGTCATGTGTTAATAATTTATACTGTGACTGGTTGTCACCTAATAAATCAGAAAGTGGCAAAACCAGTATAAAAATCTATAAAAGTATAGGCAGTCATATTATGGTCAGTAGTAGTAGTGGTAGTGTATTTCTGTGATTCCAGCTGAGGCTCCCAGGACTGAAACAGCATATGTCAAGCATGTATAAATCAAGGTTTTGGCTTGTCAAAGATATTCTATTTAAAAAATTCAACCAAGATTTCATGTTTCACTAAGAACTATATGCAACAATCTGAAGACAGTATGTAAACCAGCAATGTTAATAATAGAAGTGACCGAGTTAGAAAATCAAAAATATCCAAAAGAGACGTTAAGTTTGTCAGGGTACATTCTTTGTGGGATAGACAATGGTTGAGTATAGATTTTTTCCAATGACCTTTCTATAAATACAAAAGAGAATGTTACCTCAAGAATGGTTAAGATATGAAGTGGTTTCAATAGACATGAAGCTTAGAAAAGATAATCAAATGAAATGGGCATCAAACTACGAACAGTGGATGCATCCTCTTTATAGGTGAGTAAGGCTTATACTGTTTAGCAACAATTTGATGGTGGTAAAAAGATAGGTATCATAGTCAATACATAACATCTATAGTAAAGTATAGTGAGGGGACCATCAAGCGTTTGGGTCTCTGAATCTCAGTCAACTCTCGTGGTTATCTACACGAAGCTGATGGCATTCTAGGTACTTACAAGTATATGAAATTCTGAACTATCATGACTTTCTCTCAGAAATGTGACATATTGGGTGACAGATTCATTTGAGCAAAACAACGATCCCAAGCATACAGCAAAAGAGGTGAAATGATAAATAGGCCAGTGGAACACTTGTAGCCATGACTTGCCCTATACTAACTCCCATTATGAAAATTCTTGAGGTTGTATCAAAAAAGCAACCATACCACTGGCTGATTTATGGGAGTAATACTGAACAATGTTCCACAAGAGTATATTGATAAACGTTAGGCAGCATAAAAACAAAATGTAATACTAAGTTTAAAGCAAAGGTACAGATAGGAAGTACTAGTGCATTGTAAATCTTATTTGCTTTTGTATTTTCTGTGGTACTATATAGTATCATTATGCAATTCACTATCTAACTGCCATTAACCATTGCTTGTGACTCATGTAGGTGTATTGGTTGAATGTTTTCATAATTATTTCCACAACTCATACGTATAGTTTACAAGTTTTTAAGACTTCTTGCCCTACTAAAACAACAACAACAATAAAAACATTAGAAAGCAACTTTTTATACATCAGATGGCAACCACTAATCTAAAATATAAACTTGTATAAAAAAGCAGCTAAAAATTGCTAATTTGAAATTTATTTCACTTCATATTACACACAGTCTTCACTGGATTTAAACCTATTTTAACTATTTCACTTGTGCCTCAGTTTTCATTTTCTCGTGTTATATTTGTATATTGAATTGTTTCTTATGTATATATTTCTGTTGTAATTACAAATATTGTTTTTTTTTGTACCTGATGATGGAATTATGAAGATTCCAAAACATTTAATAAATGCTTCCTGTTATTATGCTTGTGTTTTGTTTTATCATTAAGCTATGTTTTCCAAAAAATGAATCAATTAACAATTTTATGTTAAAAACTGTTTTGTTAATCTGCTTGGAATGATAACATCAAATAAAGATTTTTTTTCCTTAAGCCAGCTGCAGTTCTTTTAATTGACTGCAACAGGGTGCTTACTGTATGTAGCTATGAATACCACATAATTTAAATTATTTTTATGAAATTTTGGACATGACTCGTAGAACCCTTGGAGTATCTTCACAGGCCCCAGTTTAAGAAACACTGACATAGTGATCTACTTACAATGCTTGCAAGAGAAATAATAACTTTCACAGTTTATAATATGCATCTATGTTGGTCTGAATATACTTTAGAAAATTAAAATGGCATATTTACAGTTACAGTTAAAATCCCAATCTCAGTTGGATGTTCAAATTGGTAACTCAAAGGATACGTGTCATTGAAGAATGAAAAAGTTATTAGGTGGATGAGCAATACCTGAATTCTTTCTCCTATAACTTCAACATTCTTAAAAGTTGTTAGCCAGAACTCGGGTATGCCTTTAACGTCATCTGAAAAATTAAGAATTTAAAAATGTTTAAATAATAGTGTAAAGGAAGTAGATATCAATTAATCCTTTTCAGATCAGAGGAGTGGCACTGATATTCCTTGATTTGTTTCCTTCTTATGGTGGAAATAATCAACTAAATATCAAGAAACTTAGTACAAACTTACTGAATAGTAACTTATATCAGAAAAATCATACAATTTGATTGTTTTTTTTATCATTTTTTCAGTTGTGAAATTTCAAAAAGTTTGTTATAAGACATCATTTTGGAAAAAAACAACATTAAAATACTTCCTTTACATTTAAAATTAATTTTTTTTATCATTTATCAAAAAGTTCCATTTCACATATTCAATAAGTTTTATCTTGATTTATATTTATATTCATTAGCATACTTCTTTTGATATTCTATTTTACCAATTGCATAGTCACAAGTTATTTTATTTACGTACATTGTTTGAACATGATAAACTTAACTATATTGAATAAATAAGGATTTGAACCATAAAAATACTTTGCCACTGCCTGTCATATTTGCTAAACCTATCTATGTTTAACTGATGTCTTGTTATAAATTGAAATTTTCTTAGCTTTTAAATAGGTAAAGTCTAACACAAAACCCTTTCAGGAATTAAAAAGAAATAAACAATTCCCAAATCTGTGGTTTGTTCCAAAATTTCTAAATATCCCCAAGATTCTTTCATTCATCCCTACAAGAGCTCTGGATAGTCACTCTCTTTTATAAAATCATAAATTACTTCTCACAACACTTTATTCACTCTACACTGATGTAAACAGTTTATTATCTGTTCTATCCACCTGTATTAAACTTTAACTATAGCTATTTTCAAAGCTGTGTTCCTTTAGTAATACTTCAGCCACATGCTATGGCATCATAAAACGCAAGGGGACAAAAGGGTGTAGTAATAAAATCACTATACGAGTAGGAACGTCAAACAAGAGGCAAGATGTATTCATAAAACTGATCATTTCTTAGCAAATATAAACCTATGCTTTGGGACAGGCAAAAAGATTCTAAAAATTTTATAAGTGCATTGTTAACAGCAGACACTACTTACAGTTGTGCAGAGATTAAAGTTGTAACATTTTGTTTTATTTTTCTTTGCAAATTACATGAAACAAATGTTACAAATTATAAAGTGTCAATTGTAAAATAATTCAGGGATAAAAATTGCTGAAAGGTAATTATTTTTACATAAATTTTGATACGAAGTTGTGCACTAAAGATCTGAATGATGCTCTATAGTCTGGATAGGATTAAATTTCACACTATACAACAGTGCCCTCCTAAAAGCTAAGATTCTGTGAGCATTAAAAAACAACAACAATGCAATTACAGAAAATAATATTCTGCAAGAAAAAGAATGAACATTTTTGAAAATTTAAAATCTGTTTTAGGAAAGAAAGAAACTTTCATACAAGCCTACCACCAGTTAGTTCTACAATATACAAATTAATTTACTTTCAGTATACTAACCATAATGAAGTAAGAACATGTGAAATGTAACATTTTGCAAAAACACAAACTTGTATTTAAATGTGTGTTTTTCTTTCAAAACTAATTTTTGTGAATGACATACCTTTATGTTCATGTACATAAGTTACTAGTTTTTGCTAAACAGCCAGCAAATTTTACTTTTAATTATAATGAACAATGGCCAGATACAGTAGCTTAAGTATGAACATTTCAAGTAATCTGGTGTATAATAACTTTAACACTTCCTTTTTCAGTCAGTTTCAATTTTCTTTCTTGATTATTTTGCAAATAATATTGCTTTTAAATCTAAAGGGAAATAGAGGAAATGGGCCTATTCTTAATCCTAGGTTTATATGGTTGGCCTATTAAACCAAACCCATACTGGAGAATTAATGTTTATTATAATTCTGAATTTGTGTACTTTGGTAAGCTTTTAATGCAAATTACAATTATGTTGTACACAAAAAATCCAAATTAAAAAAAAAAGTATTTCTACTAAAGACTTGTCTCTGAATTTACTTTAGTTAATCTAATTTAGTGATTAGTCTGATTGCAAGGTGAATTTCATGTTAAAAATACTTTTTTCATCTTACAGTTTTCACATTTCTATTGCATAACCTCTAGAACCCTAATCCATACACAGAGGGTTAACAGAAATAATGAAGTACAAAACACTAGATTTAAGTGGTTATATTTTGTATTAATTAAACTTTGGTTCCATTTAAGATCTATTTTGCTGAGGCCTAACATTCTGCACACTACTTTACAAGATGCATAAGAAAAAGACAGTTAAAATTATGGGACATTAAAAAATTGCATTATTCAATTCAGCAGGAGTACTTTCTAGAACTTAAAACATTATCTCAGAATAACAACTGCTAATAATAATAATAATAATAGAAAAAAGTCAAATATGATTATTAAGCCTGTTAAAAAATTGCTACCAGATGAGTCAAGTATTTTTTTTAAATTCTATGTAAAAGCAGAACCTAAGAATGTTGTTTAGATTTCATGCAAGAAGATGAGTAAAAAGCTAAGGTTCTTAAGATAAAGCAGCCTTGGTTAAACTCTACCATCAACTAAGAAGCTGTCTTGAAGAAGCTCTGTAGCAGTATTGTGCCATCTAGTGTTGAATTATTTTAAGTGATTAAATTCCACATCGCGATGGTCATATCCTGTGTATTTTAAGTCAGTCTGCACTGTCATGTATTGGGCATACTTCTCCAAACAAGATGTAGGACTTTATAATCACCCTATACTTTGATGTACTTAAACACTTGAAGAAGTTTGAACCCGATTGATTTTACTGATCAAGTCTAACAATTTAACTGTCTAATTGTAACAAATCATTGAATGTACATCACTTGTCAGTTTTCTTTTCCTCCATATTTTGAAGATTTAAGTTACACTGACTTATTCAGGCCTATCAACACCAATTAAGTTCAGTACCTATCTTCACACAGCACGTTATACTTCCAACACTGAATATCTTTGCAACTGCAAAAAAACAAGGATTTTAAGATGTAGACAATTTTAGAATTACTATGACCTTACTAAAGTTTTAGAGCATACCTGGCTTAAACAGATCAACACACTTCACAATGCACCCTGGCTAGTATTATGTTGAAAGAATATTTTAACTATGTAATGCATATATTTAACATACCATTGCAATGAAATATAAAAAGCAACACACATTACACTGGACAACAAATAAATTTGATCCTGGAAAAAACTCAAGTGATTTGGGGTAATTTGATGGTGCTGATTTCAAAAATGTAGTTAGAATTTGTCCATCACATCTAGATTTTGAATTATTGTAATATCTCAATATTTTATCAGTACCATGTGAAATACCATGCAATCAATAGATTTATGCTGTGAAATTAAATTTACTTAGGCAGATAACTTCAAACACTGACTGTATTGTAATGGTGTCAAATTCCATATATACTGTTCATATATGCTATTTGTTCTCCATATAATTGTAGTGAATTGCACCAGTTTTGCTTCATTCCCATGCTCACCTGCTCCACCCAGGAATCATGAAAATCTTCAAGAGCTCAGTTTGCTAGAACATTCGAGAAGTCCTTCAATTGAGCATAAATGAAGCAGAGTCAGACACCTCTCTCGATTGCCTCTCACTCAATCAATTGGTCACTTCACCTTGCTTTGTGCACAGTTAAAACAAAATCCAATCTTCTTCCTTGCATCATACCTGTGGTACAACCAAATTCTGCAAAACTGTTTTTAAAAATCTTTTAAACTGTAGTTTTGTAAACATAAATTATATTATATTTTTTAGATAATCATTTGAAATGTTGGCTGCCTCCAGTTCAAGTAAAGTACAAAAATCACCCGAACAGTTTCTGCTAAATTTGTGGAAAATATATTACAGTTTCACAAAGGAAAAACATCCTACACAAGGTAAAATTAGTGTAATACCACTATTTTCAGTGTAAAATTAGTGACCAAGAAAAACACTGGGCTCCATATGTGTGTTGTACAGTTTGCACATCTGGCTTGACACAGTAGCCAAATAAAAAGAGACCAAGTATGCCATTTGCAGTTCTCATTATTTGTGAGCCCAAAGATCATCTAACTGACTGTTATTTTTGCATAACTAATGTTTCTGGATATTCAGGCAAACTAAACAATACACTAAGTATCCAGATATTGCATCTGCAATGAAACCAGTACCTCATGAAGATGGTCTTCCAGTGCCACATCCACCAGCAAATTGGGAAACAGTAGTTATCCTGGGAAGAAGACAATGAATCATTTTCACCCTCTTCATCTGGTTATTCTACTCCTGTGGCACTTCAACATAAGTTGTCTCATCTGATCACACAAGAAGAGCTAAATGAGCTGATTCGTGACTTGTCTCTATCAAAGCAGCATAGGGAACTTTTTGGCTCTCACTTACAGCAATGGAATATATTAGCTACAGTAACAAGAGTTTCAATTAAATGAAATCGCTTCTCACTACGGCATGCAAGGTACTGTGTTTCTGTACAAATGTTGATGCACTAATGGAAGAATTAAGTACTGAACATCATCTTTATGAATGGAGACTTTTTATCAATTCATCTAAAGTTAGTTTGAACACTGTACTTTTGTACAATGGGAACACTAAGCCATCAATTCCTGTTGCTCATGCTGTGAACATGAAAGAAACTTATCAAAGCATGCAGATTATACTTGAGGCCATCAAATATGATCACCATAGTTCGAACATGTGGTGATCTAAAAGTTACTGCATTCCTGCTAGGCCTGCAGAGTGGGTATACCAAACATTGCTGATTTTTGTGTCTCTGGGACAACCAAGATGATAAAAAACATTTTAAAAAAGAAGGAATAGTCAGTGAGAGAGAATTACATTCTCTTTAGAGAATCCTCAAAATGTTTTTTTGCCTCCACTTCATATTTAACTGGATCTCTTGTAGAATTTTGTAAAAGAAATGAACAAAAATGTTAACAGTTTCAGATATTTGTCTGATAAGTTTTTAAAAAATCAGTGAAGCAAAAATGAAAGGAGGTATCTTTTTTGGGCTACAGATTCAGGAAATGCTGATGGATGATGATTTTGAAGCAGTACTCAATCAGAAAGAACTTGCTGCCTGGAAATCATTCCAATTGGTTTGAAAAATTTCTCAGAAAACACAGAGATGACAACTATGCTGTGATGATTTGCTCAAGAACTACAAGAAAATGTGGTCTGGGATGTCATTAAAGATATACTTCTTACACTCCCATTTAGACTTCTTTCCAAATGATCTAGATGCAGTGAAAGATGAGTATGGTGAGCAGTTCCCCAAGATATTTCTACAATGGAACAGCAATATCAAAGACAAAGGAATCCTGAGATGATGGGAGATTACTGTTGGTTCTTGCAGCATGATACTAAGAACATACATAAAAGATGCAACAAGTCAAGCAAAAAAACAAAAAATAAAACCATGGTGAAAGTTTTGAACATAGCCCGAAGGTATTTTCAGTATACAATCATATTATACTCATTGCTTTTTTTAAACTGGTATTGTTATTATGTATTGTTCTTGAACATTCTTAAATACAATTTTCAATGAATAAATAGTTATTAAAGAAAAAGTTATTTCCATAATATATATAAGAATAGTTTGAATAAGTCTATCATAACTCAAAAACTAGAGGTCATCAGTAATTTTGAGCATGATTTTTACAATCAGCATCATTAAATTACTCAACAATGGTTGCATTTTTTCTAGTAGCAGAGAAAATATTTTTTTGTTGCACAGTGTTATTGACCAATTCTGTTGTAATTGCTTGGATGAAAAATAAATAAATAACAGCTATATGTATTGAAACATGACTTCTTTGGTATTTGCTTATTATTGACTGGGGAATCACACAAGCAAAATGCAAAACTGTACAGTTCACCAAAGAGAATTTTTACACAGTTTAATGAGTTTTTTCTTGTGTGAATCAAAAGCTATACACTATAATACTTTTTTCTCCTTTGTGATGTTTACTCTTAACTCATTTATTTCAATTTTGAATTTTAATCAATCAAGACTTCCCTTCTAAAATGTTCAAAATAAGTTGATTTTCAAACTTCACATCATTTTTCATACTGATTAAGGAAAGTAAAGTACTTTTTTAATTACTTCTACTTAATGATATATGGTAGTGAACCTTGACATGTGAAGTTTCATGCATATTTATCAATAATCAAACCTCTCATCGTGTAAGTTGTTACATTCTATTAAACATCTTCGTAAGTATCCATATAAAAATTTATTATTAAACAACATATCCTGTTTTATGATTAAATTTTTACCTTTTTCTGATTTGCTCTTCTCTTTGTCTTCACTTTTTTTATTTTGTAGGTTAATATTTTTTTTAAGTTCTTCCTAACAAAAGAAACAATTTTTCCAGAATAACCAAGTGATTTTTTCCTATTACTGTATAACAAATATTTGATGTCAGAACTTATTTTGTGAGAAGAATTTCACAAACAGAACTTATTAAAAATACACATAAAAGAATCAAAAAGCACAAACTAAACTAGTGAGATAACTAATTAAATATATATTTTGCTGAAGATTCAATAATTTGAATAAATGTAATAGAAATTAAGCTGGTATGTTCTAACAATATTAAAATATTTTATATACATTTACAGTTCAGATTAAACTTTACACTATGTTTTGAACTAGACAGTTACCTTGTTTGGCAAAGGCTACAGATAAATCCTTCAGACTAAGTAAGAAGCAAAATGCATTACTGATTTATTAAAAATGTATACCAAATTAAGTACTTGCTAGCTAATGCTAACTCTTGGGTGATCTATTCATACAGTTCTTGTATTACAGGTAATTTACATATGTTCAGACAAGATACACATTATCAAGTAATATTTCACAGTTCACCACTCCGTGCTGTAAATTTCCTCCCCAACACTCACTGTTAATTCATCTTCCTCTTTTTCAGAGTCTGAAGGAAAGTCACACTCTTCATCTGTTGGTTCAACTTTTCCATTAATAAATTCATTTCGCTTTATGAAAAATAACAATATAAATATTTAAGACTTATTGCTACAAGACACATACTTCTATCAAATGTGCATAATGGTTACTTACTAGTTCATGCTTAATTTCACAGATTAGTTACTGAAAACAATAGCAAATTAAAAACACTTTTAAGGAGAAGTTTTGTACTGACTAATAATATTACAAGTTTCAAGGGTTTTTATAATTAAATATTAAAGAGCTTTATAATCACATACTCTAAATTGTTTCAATGAACATTTAGGTTCCAGTTTTTGTTTATACACAAAGCAGTACACTAAAATATCTTCTGAAGCTACAAAAATTAGAATGTTTCACACATTTTTAACTTGGGCCAAATTAGCTAAAATATGCCAAATTTTCTTCATTTTGATATAAGAAAAATCTAGAAGATTTTTTCAACGTTGTTTGAAATTATTTCATATAAAATTACTTTAAATAAGAAAGATCAGTTTCTTAAAAATATAATACACATCATCATATAAAATGTGCATAATTATTTTTAATTATATATCTAATACAAAACAAAAACACCTACTTTTTCAAAAATGGGTGTGTATAAGTCAGCATACTTGCACTCTAATATATGTACTTCTTCATAAAATTTGGCTTCAAGTCTGGTACATTCTAGCTGAAGTTTCTTCAGGGCTTTGATTCTACGCTTAACTGTCTTGGGTAAACTAAATAAAAATTACCAATTTTATAGTATTCTGCTTTACTTAAAACATTTCAGAACATTTTTTGCAACTTTTTTTAAAATTTCCTTTCTAAAATAAAAAATTACCAGCTGAAAGATAAAAATACAAAAATTCTAAACTCTTTATGTAGTGTTCTGTTGTATTTTAAATGTCCCAGAACATTTTTGCCAAATTATGTTTCTTTTGTTCTCGATACACTAATACTTTAGTTTTGAAATTTTTATTATATCTACCCACCAGCATTAATATTTTATCAACTTTCAAAATATATTTACTTATTTTTGTATTCTTTTAGGACTAACAAACTGAAGTTTTTTTACCTTTCTTTTCAATATAACAAAAACTTAAAAATTAACATAAAAACCACAATAATAAGTAATAGTAAAGAATCGCTAACTCAAGAGATGAATGGATATATATTGCACAAAACGAATGTATACATGTTTGGTAGAGAAAGTGGTACACATCCAAATATAAACCAAAATAACAAACTTGTTCTTAGGTATTCATGCCTTAAATAACTAGAGCATTATAAACCCACTTTTTCTGGACTTTATTCACATTTTAAAATTTTCAGTCCTTCAAGTTGTAAATAAAATCTCTTATACAGAGCCTTTAAGATATCAAAAAATCAAATCCTTTTTAAAGCAGAAGTTGAGAACATTAAGCTAACGCTTAGAAGATACTACTTTCCATTCACATTCTTATACAGAATAAGCCACATCAAAACTGAAAAACTAAATACTCTGCCTATTGTGTTAGATGTTTCAGAGAAAACTGGTACTTTTGATATGGCCTCCTTAGACAGTACTTCATACATGATAAAGAATATAATTATGAAAATTAAACAGCTAAACCCACAAAAATGCATCTATAAACCGAGTCTAAGTTAAAAGGGCTCTTCAGCTTTAAAGACAAACATTCACTGAACAACTCACTAGAGGTATGCAAGTTTCATGCCTGATGTACAACCAGGGATATGTTGGATAAACTAATAGAATGTTCCACAGTTAAATAAAGGAACACTAACACTTTCAAGACCAATATTATTGCCAACCACTGTGTAAATTAATGTGATACCGTATCTACCTCCAATTGTTTTCCATTCCTTGGAAGAATTACCTTAGAATCCTAGAATCTCTTGCCATTAAGCTAAGAAAACCAACTCTTAACTAGAAGATGAGTACATTACCACTAACACTTTCAATTATGAACATGAGCTTTGATCCTTAAAATAAAAAAGAAAGTTACATTTTTCAGTGTTTATAAAAAGATTTTGGTTTCAAATTCAATTATTTTCATTAGCAATTATTCAAGTAGGTTCACAGACCAACCTACAAATTAAACTAACTTCAAGAAGAATATGAGGGAGTTCACTGGTAGTTTTTACAGATTTTGTACACACATTTATGCCTTTACCATTAACTTGGGCTCAGTCAATTTGACCGATAACATGACCTCTTTGTACTCGTTATAGGTTTAATATCTCTAACTTTCAATATAGTATGTATATTTTCACAAAGTTTGGCAGTCTTTCAGTTAATATTATAAGTCTTTCACATACAAAAAATCATATTTTTAGTGAAGTATTTTTAATAAAATAAAAATTTGTTCATGAATATATTGAGTATTTGTTTTGAATAGTCCTTGTGCAAAGTAATTTATATGTTAAAATTAAAAATACTTTTCGTCATCCCAAAAATCTCAAATTTCCTTAGTGTAATCCCTAAAACCCCCCTAAATGCATATCAAACGTTTTTTTTCAGTAAAACTTTATAGTTTATCTGTTATTTTCTCTACCATATCTCAAAATGGAATTGGTCAATTCGACCAACTTCATAACAACCAAAAAAATCGAAATAAATCCAAATTACCTCTTTTCTTTCTAGAAGGATTTCAAATTGTAACATGAAACTATTTGTTTATCCTA